CCCATAATCACAGCTCTATGGAGCAGTATCAGACTCCTATTCTGACTAGAATTGAGTAGGACTACGTCAGGCTAGCAGTTTCCCGCCAAAGCGCAAGAGTGAGCCTATTCAAGAAGTCGTGAGAACTTCGGCGGATGGTCACGAGAACTTCATTTTGGCAGAGACCTTGGCATCTCTATATGATTTGTCTGCGGCATCGTTCAAGTGGTTGTACCTATGAACCTCCTCGATTAACCTTTCGTCTTAGTTGTCCATTGTAGTTGCTCCTCGGTTTTTAAAAATGGCACGCCCCGGCACCGGATCGAGAAGGACGACCACATAGACAGCCGGAAAGGCATAGCAAGGATCAATGACAGCTGCTTTTTGTCTGCGCACTTCAGCTTGAGGTCTGCGTGGGTTTTTGACCGTCCGACACATAGTCAGGATTTTTTTGGGGCACGCAGACAGATTTGACGGTTGCACAGGCTATGCGTCAGAAGCATAAATTGGCCTTAACTTATTCGTAACTTATTAAGATATTATCTCCAATGCGTATCAATGTATTTGACGTGTTCTAGAGAACCGATGAACATGTTTCTATCTTAGAGCTGCTGTATGTCGTATTGGCAGCGCTTTGGTTTAAAAGGGGGTTCACAGGAGGATTTTATCTGTAATCCTCCAGACTGCATCCTCATCATAGGCTGAGCATGAAAGTGAGTGTGATGGATCCTCCCTGCATTCATGCCAAGACCAACAAACTTCCTAACAGACATGACGCTGAATCTCCTGTGACTACAAACCTTCTTTCTTTTTTATTTATTTATTTATTCATTCTTTTTTTTTTTTTGGCAGCTAGGTTAATACTGCGATCAAAGAAATCTTTTTTTGCAGTCCGGGCGCCTCTGGGCGCCTAGTTGCCCCCTCAGGATACTGGCTAGTGAGATTTCATGGACATTACTCTGCCAAGCGTTATGCAAAAGTTAGGCTGTTGTTGGACATACTCTCTGGACTCGTTATGAATACTGTATGTATACGCCGAAAATTTTAAAAAATAAATAGAAAGTTCAGCGTATGCCAGCGTTTTAGAAGATTCTTTGACGTCAGGAATACGTCTGATAAATCGTGAAGGTGTGACAGGGGCTTAAGGGTGTGAATACTTTTGCAGATCTCTGAGTTTCCAAACTAAAATCCATCAGATCAAAGCTGATATTTGGTTTTGTAATTGAGCTTCATTTTAAAATGTTTTCTGTGGATTCCCTTCTGTTTGTTGTGATCATATTGGATTTTGTTTTATTTTTTCATTGCATGACAATTTCCTCCTTAGGTTTTCCTTGTTTCCTCCTTTGCTCGGCTTCCTGTCCCCCAGCAGCTCATTTATTCATGTGTTCTGTGTCTCCCTGCTGGATCCCAGCCATGTTATTGCTGCTTTAACAGATTTAAATCTGGTTAATTCTCCAATCTGCAGATGTCTCCAAATGATGCAGCCGATGAGATGGAGGGTCTGTCCCTGACCAACAAGTATAAGAGAATGTAAGAAATAGTTTAATCTTCACCAACATAGATGTGTCAGATGAGAGGTTTTACAGCGTGACCTTCTCCTCCTCAGATCCTACGATAAGAAGGCTCCTCCGGTCAGCATGTCCAAGCTGCTCAGTCACGGCTACATGGAGGAAAAGAAGAAGTCTGGCAATGATGATGACACTTCAAGTAAAAACATTTTACTCGCTGTTAAACACTACAGGATATCTGATGGTTTGACTGTTTATAAAATAGAATCTCTGATGGAAGGAGCTTTGAAAGTAAAGGTCGTTAAAAGCGATAAAAAAAAAACAGGCACAGATGATAAAAGGTGTCACAAGCAATCAAATCTCAAGTTTTATCTATATATGAAGAGATGATAAATCTGTTTAAGTATTTAGCATCAAAAGAGGCTTAAAGTGTCACTAGCTTTGTAAACTATTAAATGAAAAATCTTTTCTTAAAAAAACAAGCTGGAGGTTTTCTCTCGACTTGAAGACAACGATTTATGAAAGTATGTCCTTCGTATTTTGAGCTGCTGAAAGCTGGAGGTCCCATTATCTCGACATGAAGAGATAATTAAACTGTTAACACAACAAAATGGGCTTAAAGGCCTAAACACACAGCTTGTGTACAATTTTTAAATTGTACACATTAACTGGAGAGGCCCCGACTGAGGAGGGCAGATTGTTTTTCACTCCTCTCTATGTGCTATACACAGATTAAAACCATTTCCCACATTTGATTTGGACAGATTATGTAAAGTTATTTAAAAAAACAATGATAATAATAAAAAACATTCTTTAAAATAAAGCTCCACTTAAAGAATTTTGTGCAGCTCCTCAAACTAGAAGAGATAGAGAATGTTCATATATTGAAAACATAATGAGGTCTACATCTAAAGAAACGATAAACACCGTGGGACGATTTTGCGAGGACCCAAACGGATTCATATTTTATCCGTTTTCTTTCCGTCTCATTCATTCATTCATTCATTCATTCATTCATTCATTGTCCCGCTTATTGTCCAGCTTTTATATACCAGGTTTTATTTTGTGATTCCCCAAAACCGGATGTGTTTTACTTTGAAACCGTGCCTCTCTTCCTGTCGGATCCATTGAGTTGCTGCGTAGTCTGACTAAAATAGACCTGGGTTCTATCTCAGTCAGAGCTGCAGAAAATCAGGTGGTGATCATCCCCATTGACATTCAATGAGCGCTAAACAGAACGACTTTGCTGACAAGATTTTCTGTCGGATTGCACGCAAAATCGGATTCGGTGTGTTCTGGCCTTATGTCTCATCTATTCCTTACAACTTAAGGAATAGGTGAATTTGTAACAAAAAAGGCAGCTTTTGGCCCTTGAATCTCTACAATACAAAAAAAAAGTTTCCTATTGTAAAGTGGGTCTTTGTTTTTATATTTAAGGAGCTATTAAGTTGTTTAAAAGTGAGTTCTGCTGTTGATAAAAGGATATTATAAATAGGTTGGGCAATAATAATTCAGTCTGGTTCATCGTTTGGGTTAAAACCTGCTGGATGTCTCCTTATCTTCACCCAGAACTGTCACAGGAGATTTTAAATTAGTAATACAGTTTTTACAGAAAAAGCTCATAAAATGAAAGGTTATGATCCTTTAGGTCCATCAATCATTATATTTAAAGATAATTAAACTTTTATCATAAAAACTAGGGCTGCAACAACGAATCGATAAAATCGATAAAAATCGATTTTTAAAAGCGTTGGCAACGAATTTCATCATCGTTTTGTTGTGTCGCGCGATTAATGCGTCATCCGCCGCCGCCGTCATCACATCCACTTGACTGAA